TATCCCTCTTGCAATGGTAGCAATGGCTAACAAATTACTTCTAGCACCATTACTATTGTACAATGGAAATTTTAAGCTATGCTTCTTCCTTTAAGTAACCTAATCACTTACCCTGCATAACCTACTAGAATCTTGTATTGCTTTTTCTTTCACAGCATACAAATAAACAATTCAACAAAGAGTTTCCAAAAAAAAAAAAATTCTTGCCACCGACATGGTTGCCATGATGTCTATCAGCAAGTTCAACAAAACAGGGCAAACAAATACTCTAATTAAATACCATTTCACCAATACACAAAAGATGTCAACAGTCAAAGAGCAATGATTGTACAGAAGAAAGCAATGGGCATATTAAAAAAACTCTCTTCTTCCGTTTGGGTGCCCACAGCCCCAATTTTATATTCAACAAACACCACAGTTATAGAGAGAATGGAACAAAACACTCCACTTAAAAAAATTCTTTCACCAAAAGAAACCAGTGAAATCACCCCCAAAAATTCTTCAGTTCCACACAATAGCAACTAAAAAAAAAACTTTTTTTCCCATGTTTTCCAGAAAACTAGAGAAAACCCAGAAAAGATAAAGCATTTTCCAATCTGGGATTCAAGTACAAGTAAGTATAGCACACAATTCAAATTCCACACACATTCATATAAACACACACATATAAATAAGATAAAATGAAGAGTGTGAACCTGCTGCATAAAGAAAAGCGATGGATAAGGAAGAGGTGAGAAATATTGGTATGATTGGGGTGCTCAATGAAGTTAATGAGTGTTGCATGCAAGTGAATGAAAGGCTTTTCATTCGTATTTTAGATGATCGCACAAATGGAAAATTTGAAAGGAGCAAAATGTGCTCACACCAGTGAAAACCCTAACACCATTGAAGGAGGAGGAAGAAAAAAAAGGTGTGCTCACACTTGCAGAGCCCAGACACCACGGTCCACGGGTAAGGATTGTGTTCGATTAATTACATTTTTGTCATTAATGAAAACATCTCTTCTCCGTGTTTTTGGTGTTTTCGGAACAAAAAGTAAAAAACTAAAACCAAAACACCTCATTGGTGTTCTGTAATTTCTGTTTTGAAAACTAAAATTGAAAAACTGTTTTCAGTTTTTTTTTTACAAAACAGTTGGCATCAAACAAGTTTTTTTGATTTTTAGTTTTTAAAAACCAAAAACTGTTTTACAAAACACTTATCAATCAGGCCCTTTATCTTTGTTTTATATTTTGTTTTTGTTTTAGCTTTGTTTCTTTAGTTTAGTTCTTGACTAACGCTTTTTTAATTTTTTTTGGATGTTTAGCCTCTTATTTCCACAGTTATCCATACCTTCACCCTAGCCCTATTACAACTTTGAATAATAAGTCCTCTTGATTTGTGCATGCATGTGTTACGAGTAGTGGAGAAGTAGAAGTTGAGCAAGCCTATGGTAGGATAATTTTCTTGAGTAGATTTTAAGTGTAACACTTGCTTACCCATACACTTGAGAGATTGATTGAGAGCATCCCTTGAGAAATTGTCTTGTGTGATTAGCAATATTAAATGAGATTACCATGTTTTATAATTTGAGATGAAGGAATTTCTGCCTTTATTGATTGATCTCTTAAAGCTTTGTAATCCTTGTTCAAATTTTGTTTTCTTGGCAATTATTAGAAAGGATATGTCTATCCTTTAGTTTGTATTTCAGTTTTGTCATCTCTTTAGTTTGTTTCAAGTTTTAATTTTGCTTAGGAATGCAAAAGGATAAGTGTAGGAAAATTTGATAATTGATAATTGATATTTATTATACTTATTTTTTACTCTTGTTTAGTAATTTTAAGATTGTTTAGTATGTAAATAATGGTCTTTTAGGTTGAATTGAATATTGGCCTTTTAATTGAGTTTGATTCGTTTTTACCTTAAAATTCCAAATTTATGTTGTTGCAATATTTTGAGCATAACATTTGTTCTAAGTATCCTATTAATCTCGTTCTTGTCCCATTTTGCAGATAACTTCAAGAGCTACAAATGTTATGCAGCCACAAAAGCCAAATTCGGACAAGAAAATGATCAAAGATGGAGCCCAAGTCAGAAACGAGATGTTGGAGTTTTAGTTATTTTTTTTGGGTTAAAAAAGTTTTAGTTAACTAATAGGGCTTAAGTTTGTAATTGAGAACCCAATGTTTATGAGGCCTAAAGCCATTATTTGTATTTTATTTACTTTTATTTGCTTTTATTTTGGAATAGGATTTGTGAAGCCTGAAGCCCAGTTAGTATGGGTTAAAAGTCAAGATTAGGAAAACTTGTTTTGAGATTTCGTTTCAGTTTTACGTTGAACTTTTTTAGAATTCAATTTTCGTCTTCTGTCCTTCGTTTTCTTCTTTTATTTTTGCTTTCTACTTAGCCATGCTAGGTTAAGCATTCTTTAATCAACCCAAGGGTTGAGGATTTCATGGTTGAAACCTGAGGACCTGCACCTTATCTTGAACCAATTTTGTTTCTCTTCCCTTAACTTGGATTGAACATCGCGCGATTACGGGTGTTGAATCTGAGATCTGCTATTGCACTCTAGGGAAAAGATTGAATGTTAGATTTAATATTCAGGTTGATTAACCAAATGAACGCAAGTCAAACAGATTGATACTCTGTGATTGTATGAGTAGACGTGTCATATTGATCAAATGCTAGGCGATTGTCTAGAGAAGTTCCTATATGAATACAAGAATTTTGATTTGTTTAGGATCAACCATGATTTGGTAATTATATGTTCAATGATATATGTTTTTGAAATCCTAATTCTTGGGTTGATTGTTTTTAAATTGATGTTTTCATTTTTAAATCTTGTTTTTACTTTCCGTTTTTAAATGCATTGAAACACCCCTTCTATTTTACTTTTTATTTTAATTGAGCGATTTAGTCCCCTTGCAAATTCTTGAGAGAGATGATTCAAGTTGCTCCCTATATTACAAATCCTTATTTTTATTAACTTAATTAATTTGAGCGAGTTCGACAGTTCACGTCATTAATCCATTAATTCAACATTTTAATGAATTTAGTTTTTTGTAGAGAAATTCGATTGCACATAAATCAATTAACAAAGGCATTATCTTTTCACCTATTTTATTTAAATAAAGGCAAGTCAAAAGTACATGGTATTTGACTTAAGGGACTAGTTCTGTTCATATTATATTTTCCCCTTAATTCCAAAAAAAGAGTTCTGTTCATATTATGTTAATGCAAGTGGTGGCTCCCGTCGTTTAAGACTGTTAGCGTTTAATTTTATTTTAATTTATTTAAATCGTTGATCTAAACGACAATTGATGATATATATATATATATATATATATATATATATATATATATATATATATATATATATATATATATATTAACACACTATGTGTCGTATGCCACGATCTATTAGTTTTTGGTGTTTAAAACAAATTACAGCTTGTTTATAGCAATAGTAAAATAATTTAGTGAAATATGGTGGTACCTATTTACTTTTTTTAATGGTGATATTTTACTAGTACTATTTAAATGTAGTTTACATTATCTGATGAGCGGTTTTTAATTAAGAATATACTGCGTTAAATTTTTTTTTAAATATCATATAAGAAAATTACAAAACAATAAATTAACAATACACAATTTTAGTGATCGTCATAGGTACCTCGTAGAGGTTTTATTTATTTATTTATGTGGTAATTGAATGATTCATTCTTATTCAATCTTTTATATTTTGCCGCCCATTATTTGATTTAATCATGGACGGATTTAGAAAATTAAAGTTAATGGGTCAAAATAAATTATTAATTTTCATAATACTAAATCAATGCAAGCTACTTAACCAATCAATTAACATATTCTCTCTCTCCTCCCTCCCTCCCTCCCCCCATTTTTTTTTCATAAAAAGTAATTAATCAATATACATTATTAATAGGCAATTAACTTGTCATATATGGTATAAAATTCAAAATGTGAAAAAATAAGAGAGATGTTTTCCTAACTAGAATTGCACCATAAAAAATTGATGAGGTGTTGGATTTATGAAATAGTGGCAGGCTGGCCCGGACCACAAGCTGGAGTCGTGATTCGCGGGTTGTTTCATGGTGGTTGATGCACATGAGCCTGTGGGACCTTCGTGGAGTGATGTCTCTCACGGGTCAAATATAACTCAGTACCACTTATTACTCAAACCCTCTAATAGATTGCCTTAATATGCAGTATCTTTATTGTTTTCTGCATTTGCACACACTTTGTTGCTTGCGCAGTCATTTTATTTTATTTTATTCAAAATTAAGGAAGTGGATAACAAATCAATTTCAGCTAATTTTTTTTTAAAAATATAGAATAAAATACATATTTAGTTAAAAGGGAACCTGATGAAAATATAAAATAAAAAAATTAATCCATACTCAAGCAAATATACTCTAACTTAATACAAAACAAATTACAGTTACCTTTCTTTTAGCAAACACGTAAAAAAATTTCTTGCGTTGGACTAGGTTAAGTAATACAAGTTGAATCATTGTGTATGCTTTTTCATGTCCAATGGAGCTCTTTAGGCACATCCCATTTTTTTTTTAAAAAAAAAAAACACTAAACTTTACCCTGTTGGGTATGGCTCATACTTCGGATGTTGATGAAGATTTTAGTTGTCGGAGTCAGCAGAAAGGCAACTGAGTGAGATAAATATAGTACAGACAAACAAGACATAGCTTATATTGAGTAAATCAGAATAAATCGATGTGTCTAATCTCTCTACTCTTATATCTTTTTCTGTTTTCTCAATTACGTATTACGTATGATTGTCGATTTCCAACATAATTCTCTTTGAACTCATCAAAACTTTTCCTAAACATTTCTCATTAAAAATTGCACCCTTATTAGCTACTATATGCAAGAAAAACTCAGGTCTAACACCCAGTTAGTAAGTAAATAACTGAACCAACTGAAGAAGTACTAAAACTGATTTGCCAAATTAGGACAATTCAGCTCGAATCGCAAATGTGTGTAAATTTCAGAGCTATCTTCATTACCATACCCAATTGTATTACAATTTCTAACTGTCTACTTTCTCATGAAAATCCCTTATATTTCACAAACAGTTATAGCTCAAAAGTCACAAAATCTTCGCTAAAACTACTTATCCGAATTTGGACCATTTTGTAATTAAAAAAAAAAAGCTCAACATTTATATAAAAATATAAAAAAAAAAAATTAAAAATCAAACCGCAGCAGAGGCGTCACGGTGACCCTGTTGCAGATCACCGGAGCTGGAACGGTTTTTAGCGGTGGGGGCGATGGTGGCGCGGCAAATCGGGCAATTGGAGTGGTTGCTGAGCCACATATCAATGCAAGAAGCGTGAAACGAGTGCTTGCACGCGCTCAGCTGCCGGACCTCCTCGCCGTCGGCGAAAGCAGCCAAGCACACCGGGCACTCGCCGCCGATTTCCTTCGCGTGCGTCTCCTTCTGGTACTTCAAGTCGGCAACGCTACCGGCGCCGGCGTTTTCAACGTCTTGGTGTGAGAGTTCGGACACAAAGGAGGGATCGCCGGAGGTTTCGCCGGCGGAGTGATGCCGGCGGCGGGACGCCGGGCACCTGAAGGCGAAGATGAAGGTGTAGATTAAAGCGGGGATGGTGACGATTGCGACGAGGGCGAGGAGGAATTTGAGAGGGGACAAATCGACGGAGCTAGGAGTGTCGGCGAAGAGCGGTGGAGGCGGCGGCGCTGGAAGGACGGTTATTTGGAAGACGGAGTTGGGAGAACTGGCAAAGGGTGGCGGCGGAGGCGCGGCGGAGTTCGGCGGAAGAGGGAGGGGAAGCGGTGGCGGGGCAGAGATAGTGGTGGATGAGTTTTGCATTGTGATAGAAGAAGTGAGAGTGAATATTAGCATTATTAATGTCATGTGTGGTTTTGTTTTGAAACTTTTTCAGTTTTTTATTTTTTTTATTTTTTTATTTAAAAAAAAAAAGGTGGTTGAAAATGTTTGTTAGGAGAATGAAAGGGACTTAGGGTGGAGTTTTGATGTCAATTCTTTGAAGCAATAATTGATGTGGTGAGTGTAAGTGTGATGAGATGATGAGAGAATGGGAATGAAGAAAACTTTGGTTAAATGATGTAGAAGACAAAGAACTTACAGCTGGACCCTTTTGTTAACTGGTTTCTTTCTTTTGTTTTCTCTTCCACCTTTCTCTATTTTTTATTTTATTTTTATCTTTAATACTGTTACAACAATGGGTATGTTTAAGAATTAATTGATTTTTTTGTCAAGTTTATAGAAATGCTGTCCGATCTAAAGGATTTTTAAAATTTAACCGGTTAATTTGTTGGATCAATTGGAACCGAAGGTTAAAATAATATACTATTAGAAAAGGAGGAAAATGCATAAATAATTCTCACGCAAGCTATTGTAATAGATATTTACTAATTATTTTTAGCACATTTAATATTCAATTGGTTTAATTTTTTTTAACCTTTTTTCTCTTAAAAAGAAAAATCAAACCAAATACTCTTTTTTAATATAAAAACTATTTAAAAAAACATTTTTAATGAAAAATAAAAAAATAAAAGAAATAGTTTTTTATTTTGTTTTATAAGAAGATCCTAGAAGAGCGGTTTTTTGCATAAAAAAATCCTTACATTTTATTCATCATGTGATATTAAGATGACGTACTGGATTAGGATTTTAAAATACTATTTTGAGATAAAATATCTCATAAATTTTAAAAAACTATCTAAAATTGTAGTGACTTTAAAGACTTTTTTGAAAGACATTTTTCACAATCAAGATTTTATAAGATTATATTTTAAACGATTTTAATAGAATTTACAAAGATTTGAAAGAACACTATGGATTTATAAGATTTTAAAAATTCATATGAATTTTTAACAAACATTTAAAATTACAAGAGACAATAAAAAATAACAAAGAAATGCAATGATATCAATAAAAAAAGTAAAACCAATTCATTTGATATCGCACACCTTAAAAATTGTGAATCGTGATTTAGAAATGCCAAATATTCTCTCAATTGCATTTCTCAATGATACATGACGAAGATTAGACAATTCATTTGCATTTTGAGGGTCATTGCTGATGCTCACCGGCAAGTATACCGATCGCACAAGTAATACAGTGATAAAAAAGTATCGTCTCCACCGGGATTGTGATCAAATATCAAATAATCGTTCCTTTTAAGACGGGAAGAGTTCAAATAAATGTGACAAAATATTGTGGATTTGAGTAATTATAAGAACTAAGATAAAAACTTATTTTTAAGGTTTTGTGATGAAAAATAAAAATAGAGATTGATTTGTAAAAATATGAGAAAGCATTGTAGCTAAAGTACACTCACCAAATGATCCCTACTTCTTACGCTAGATTGATTTACAATACTCATTTACATAAATACTCAGATATTTTATCATCTAAAAATAATTAGTTAAATTCTAATTCCTTGGCAATCTAACCCTTTAACCCCAATTAGAACCCTAATTCCTTAGCAATCCCTCATGAAATTAAGCAATGAACACGATAAATAAAACATCTGCAACCAAATATACGTCTATTCCTAGAACGCATACAAATTGTTATCCTACTCCCTTTTAAGATCAAAACCCCAATATTCCTATCTAGGGTTCCAACCCTCAAACTACCATCAACTATTAGATTGATCAGTTCTAACAAAGAAGATAGAAATTACGCACAGAGTAGAGATAAAGATAAACATATAAACGAGTAAAAATAAATCAGTTCGTTGTAACAAGGGTTCACATAGGGTTTCTGACCCTAACTACAATAAAAAGTACCTAGCCAACCATGGTCATGGCTGAAATATTAATATTTAACATCAACTTGAAGAAATATAGAAATGGAAGAATATAGATGAACAAGGTCTCTCTAGAACTCTCTTCTCTGAGCACGACGATTTTCTTATGAAAAAGCGCTTTTTTTTTCAATTCTGTGTTGAGCATCCTATTTATAGTCCCAACTTCTTCTTCCAAAATTGTCCTTGTAAAAACACGGCGATTATTTTCTCGCAAACTGGCGCGGAACCGCGCCACATCCCTGGAAAATGGCCCAGCAAAATCTGATGCATCTCAGGAGCAAGCATCTGGCGCCAAACCGCGCCACTATGGCGCCAAGTCGCGCCATTTCTCTGGTATTTTGCCTGGCTAGACTGATGTAGCATAGAACTTCCACTGTGTAGATTTACGCCACCAAGCTTTTTACACTTTCGTATTTTCTACCATTTTCTCCCTATATAAACATAACAAATAGGTGAGAAATGTCATTGAGATGGAAAAGTCAATATAATAAGTAAATATGTATATAAAGTGCTCTTTTATGACTTAATTCTCATCATTTTCAGCTTGGAAAACTACAACTGCCAGAGGCACATCAATTGCCATTATAATATCCCTAACCTAATTAATTGATAGATTATACGTGATTAAGTAAAAGACCTAATGAAATCACTACAAAAAACAGGCATTTAGCGGCGGTTCATTTTTGATATACGCGACGGTTACAACCGCCGCTAATTGCAAAAATGCATTTAGCGACGGTTGTAACCGTCGCTTATACCAAAAATGAACCGCCGCAAAATGCCTGCTTTTTTGTAGTGTAAATTAGGGTCACTTTTGAGGTAAAAAGTGCAGTTAATGAGATTTTTGGGATAAAAATGGGTGTAAGCAAAATTATCCAAAATGTAAAAATAAAAGTAGAAATATTCATAGAAAAATATTCCAAATCTTTGGGTAAAGTTTGAAAGAGAACAGAGTTGACTAGATAGATATACTTTTACCCAGTTAAAATAACTCAACTATGTTAAATGCTAAAAACATAAACAACTCACTCATTTCTTCTTTCTTCTTCGTCGGATGCAGAGAGTGAGAAGAGGGTGGGAGAGAGCCATTTCCAACTCAAAACCCTAATTTCCTTGATTCTCTACCAAGCCAAACCATTCCAAAGCCAAAACCACTTAGAATCTTTCCCTCTTTGTGAATCCAAGCTTGGTTTTGAGTGGGAAGCTTGGTTTTGAGTGGGAAGCTTTGTGGAGATATATATCTCCTTCTCAAGAATTTGATCCATTTGGTGATTGGTGGAGTTTAATGACATTTTCTTCTATGGGAGCTTAGTAGACCACTATTCCTTGATTGTGTAACCTATTGTGGTAAGTTTCCCCTCCTTCAACCTTGTTTCCATGGAGATTGTATTTGGGTTGAAGATGATGAATAGTGTTTTGTGAGTTTTATGAGTTTGAGTTATATTGAAGCTAAATTCCTTTACAAATGTTGTCAGGAATGATAAATAAACGGTAGAAATTGACTTAGATTGTCATTTAAGTTATTTTCAATATTTGAGGAAAATCTATGCTTGAAATTGTGATTTCTTGCATGTTAAGCCATTGGTTGGTTGTATGTTTGATTTGTATTCGTTTTGGTGCTAGAATTGAGCCAAGTGGACCAATCGTGAGTAACCAACCATTGGAGGAAGCAATGGAGCTTGATTAGCTCGTTGAGATTGGTAAGTTCATGCCTATGGTGGTGTGAATTTGTTTGTTTGATTGATGAGGATATTGGTATTCATTGGATTGCATTGATAGATTTCCTAGTACCTTGATGTAGGTATTGATTGTGAAGTTTGATTGGTTGCCAATTAGTGAGGAACAAAGGTTGGACTAGAAGCAAATTGAGGTAAGCCTTTGGACCTTGGCAATTGTTCCCTTTATTGTTCCACCAAGCCCTGATTGGGTAGTGGTTATTGTTAGTGTATGTAATTGCAATAGAGTAGTTTAATGCTTTGATATAAGTATGTGTATACACTGGGTGTGGTAGAGGATGATATTTCCCTATGTTTTGTATGTTGTATGACGATACGTAATTCATACTTAGTAGTTTAGCTGGCCAGAAGAAGTATTTGCATCTTAGTATCCTTAGGACAACATGAGAGCTTGAGGGATGTCTCCTAGAGATGTTTGAAACACTATATAGGTATGTATTTACTACATTATTTACTGTTATTGCTATTATACTGTGAGTGAACTATAGGTGGAGAAATGCTCCAAGGACCCCTGATTTACTAAGGTATATTCATATATCTCACCCTGTGTAGTGGGGACCCCCTTTCAGGTATAGATATTGCAGGAGCCTCTAGGGGAAAGTGGCCATATTTGAGCTAATTGATACATGATAATGCTGTATTTTTTTGGTTATGCATGTCATTTGGTAGTTTACTATGTATAGGACATTTTGGAAGCATCCTAGATATATGTCTACATGTTAGACTTAGGAGATAATCATTGTATTTTGTATAGCCCTTATGTATCTAGATAGGGACTTTGATCATATGGTATACTAAGTTCCTTGACATGTATTTATTTTGGAAGAACATTGTTGTATATGATTCATGGAAACATTGATGTAATGATATATTATGCTTTAGCAATTTTGGTATTGCATAATGATTATGTAAAGTGTGTTGGGTGTAATGGCATTGGAGAGAAAGTCCTTATGTGAAATAAATGAAAACAAAGGAATTTGTATTTTTCATAGGTGGAGGGCGCTTAAGCCCTCTCATAAGGGAGCTTAAGCGCCTTGAGACAGAATTTTTTTGAAGATTTACCCATCAGAGGGAGCTTAAGCGACTCGAATAGAAGGCTTAAGCGCCCAGGAGGACCTGTGCAGGGAGAAATTGTCGGTTGCAGGGGAATCAAGCTCCCAAAAAGGAGGCATAAGCGTCCTCGGGCTTAAGCGCCCTGAAAGGGGGCTTAAGCACCTTGCCCCTGATTTCAAACAAAATGAATTAGACTTAAAATTAATGAGTAAGGACCATTTGTTTAGGTCTAATGAAGATAGTAAATGATGTTAAGTGTAGTATTAGTTATTTCGTAATATC